TACATTTCCACTTGCATTGCATTCCATTCAATCAAGAAAATGTTATTATCTTAATCGTTTTCCTTACCGAGGTTCCATAAGCCAATGCTTGTTTGCAACCATTGATCAAAATCTAGCTGGCTTGTCTTGTGTTTGAGCCTAATCTCCCTGTAATATGAGTTAAAGTTACGGTGCTATTAATTACCATAAGATCATCAACTAACTGCTATACTTATCTAAAAATAGCTCATAATTTAATTTATTTTTTGTTAGGTAAATACTCTCACATCTACAAATGCACAGTATGGGACTCAACCCCTCACTTTCTCAAAAGAAAGGAGTGTCATACCGGATTATCGGTAAATACTCACACGTCGAAATTTTAAAAAATTTTTTATAAATATTTACTATAAATTTTTTTCCTACCATGACATCTCATTAGCCGAATATAAATTTGTGTGTATTCATCTTTTTATGTGTTCGACTAATATGTCAGCCGAATATTCATCTTTTTATGTCAGCCAAATATAATTTTGTGTGTATTCATCTTTTTATGTGTGGGTCTAAAACTATAAATTTGTATCCTATATGTCAGCCGAATATAAATTTTTTATAATAAATATTTTACGACAATCAAACATCAAAAAATTAAAAACTATTTTTCAAAAAATATTTTACATCCAAACATAAAGCATGTCGCTAATATTATAATATCATACAGTGTGCAAAGTGTTACTTTCACACAAGGGTGGAGCCAATTAAGGCCCGGGGGGCACGTGCCCCCCCTCACTTTGCTCTAACCTACTATACATAGGTACATATTTTTGGTATATACATATAATTTTATGGTAATTTTAAATAGCGCCCCCCTTCAAAATTTCAAATTCTTCTAATTTCCTTTTGAAAGAAATTTTTTTTATATATATATATCCCTTCTTCAAGTATACAATATATTTTTCCTTTTCTAATTTTTGTTTCCTTTTTCAAAAAAATTCTTTTTTTACTTGTGTATAATTATGTATTTTTCTATTTTTTTTAACTTATTTCTTTTTATCGATGACATTTGTGATTGTATTTAATTAAAATATTATTAATTAATATTTTGATTCTTATATTTGTAACTATATTTTTTTTACAATATTTATTTAGCATATTATTTTAAAACTATTTTTTTTTTATTTGCCTTTTTGATTTAAAAAAATTATACTCCCTATTTGTCAAATTTATTAATTTTTTTTTTCCCAACAAGTGCATTGTGCCTCATCTGAACTAAAATCCTGGCTCCGCCTCTGCTTTCACATGAGAATTTCTTTTCTTTTTTTTTCCCCTGATTTGAACTTGTGACATTGGGATCACAATAAAGCAATTCATATATATATACCAGCCAAGGCATCAAGAAGTGTTGATTTGCCACATCCGGAAGGACCCTTTATAGCCAAGACCTCCCCGGGGCGAGCGTAGCCAGTGAGACCTTGAAGGATCGATCTGTTGCCATTTTTAACGTCGGCAACCATAACCCACAGGTCCTCCCATGTCAAGAAAACCCCGTTATCCTCCATATTGGTTTCAAAACTAGGGTTTTGCACTAAAACAGTACTACTACTTTCTACCTCTAGTGGGTTCCTCCTAATTTCTAAGCTAGTTTTCATAGATCTTGAGCTTATGCACTGCAGTTTACAGTTGCTAACATATTTTGGTCATGCATTGCATTTGCATGTCAAGATTGGCAAGGTTAGAGCATCTCCAATGGTAAAATGCTAAATTGAATGCCAAATCTATATTTTGACAGTGCTACAATGTCAAAATGCTACATTTTAGCAATTCTGCTCCAATGGTGCATTTCCTGCAAAATGCTATTTTTTGACACAACCACTATTCTTTTTCAACTACCATTCCCACCATTCATATTTACATCAATAATATTAATATTAGTCGCATTTCAAGTCAAGTTGTAGACATTAGAAAGAAATTAAAATTAAATCTAATTAAAAAGAAGTACAAATCTAAAATATCTGGTCAAAAAAGGAACCTAATTAATTTTTTTATAAATTTTTTTTTTTCTTTTTTGGAAATTTATAGATATATATATGTATATTATATATATTTGATTATATAATTATTAAAAATATGTATATTTTTAGGGCAAATCATTTCAGCCTCCCCAATTGCCTCCATCTCGTTCTAAAAAATTTTACTAGTTTACTCTCTTTCTCTCTCATCTTCAATTCTCATTCGCCGGCGTCAATTAAAGAAAGCTCTCATACGACTCACATCAATTTTTCGATACTATTCTCAATTTCGCAACTTCAAATGGAAACCCCATCATCAACCACAAGGGTCACAAGATCACAAGCCTTGGCTTCTGCAAACAGTAACAACAACATACCCATGTCGAGTAAGTGGTTCTCAATACTCTTTTTCTTTCAAAGATCAATAATAATCTTTACACACACAAACACATTACTTTGGATTGAAATTTTGAAGGGAAAATTGTAGAATATGAAAGGGTGTTTCAAAATCTCTCTCTCTCTCTCTCTCTCACACACACACACACACACAAATGAACTTTTGTATTGATTGAAAACTTTGGGTTGAAATTTTGAAGGGAAAATTGAAGAATCTAGGGTGTTTCAATATCATTCTCTCTCTTTCACACACACATATGAACTTCTTGTATTGATTGAAAACTTTGGGTTGAAATTTTGTAGGGAAAATCGAAGAATCTGAAAAGGGTGTTTCAAAATCAAGACAGAGAAGTTTGTAACAACCTGCTTTGATTGATATAACAAATGATTCGTCCATTGTTGGGCTTGCAATGGGAAGAAAAGCCCAGAAATTGCAAATATAGAAAGAGAGAGGGAGAGCAGAGGACGTCAGTACAGCTGTAAGAGAGCTACCAAAAAAATTTGGCAGCTGTTACATTTAAGAGGAAAATTGAGAATGTCAAAATTTGAGGGTTCAAATGAGAGTCCATTGGAGAGTTTTTTTTTTTTTACCCCCTCTCATATTTTAAGTTTAACAGCCCAATATAAAAGATCATTGGAGTTGCTCTTATATATATACTTTTTAAGTGCAAATGAAAATATATGAAGTTCATGTGAATGAAGGTGAGGCAAGAGAAAAGTGTGTCTGACGCCTGACAAGTAATTAAAGTGATGTGGATAAGACACTAATTATGTGAGAAATTGTACTGGTGTCAGATGATTGGTCTCCATCACTAAGGCCATCCAGTGAAGGCATCAAATTTGCCATCTCGTGTCATGGTCATGGTCTTGGAGCCTTGTTGCTGTTATGTGTGGGTCCCACTTCAGTTTTCTCTCTTCCCCTCTCTTTTATCGCGGGTCCTATACATTCTTTTTTGACTAACGGAGAATTAGGTGAATTCCAAAATCATGCAAGCCAGAAAGGAGAATCAAGCAACATGTGAACAATTGAAAAAAAAAAAAAAAAAAAAAAAAAAAAGTCATGAATATGAAGCATTCAATTCATTTCACATCAATAACTAAGAAAATTAACATGGTTCAGACACAAACATATATAAATAATTATTATTGCATTTTTACAATATTTCGAGTATACATGCATGCGAGTATCACAACATGCGTGATATATTATAGTTGATTCAGTTTAATGTACTACGACACTTTTTCTAAAATTATTGAAGCACAATACAAATTGTTAGGGCACAATTAAGAAAGTTTGTTTGAGTCGGGCTAGAAATGACACTTGTATTTAAGGTTAATGGAAAGAACCTTTGATTCAAACTCAAATTGGCAATTAAACTTGAATTGAAATTCATACTTAATTGACGAATAATAATAATCGTGTCAAGTTTAAATTTGATGAATGATAATTGTGTCGAGTTTAAATAGTCTTATCTTGACTTGAATGGAGTTCAATTTCAGGTGAATTGATTAGTTTAACTAATTTCAAGACCAACCTTGAAGGCTTTAACACATTTTTTTAGTTTAGATCAAGATTAATAAAGTGAAATAGTAATTATATATAAATCCAAACATTTTTAATATATATAAAAGAGTCAAGGTCACAAGTCAAGTCAATGGTTGTTGGAGCTCAACTTGTATACTAAACAAGCTTAAGAAACAAATTAATCATTTGTATAATTGTATTACTAGTATATTTTTCACTTTATGAATTAATTTTTTTATTAATTTGAATAAATATCGCATCAATTTGTAATCAAGTACTTCAATATCGACTACAAAATAGAGAGTAATCAAAAACGGAAACCCTCAATATCGACTATAAAATTGTATCACTACTAGATATTGAGGTTGGTAATCAAAGAATTTTGTAGTCGATATTGAGGTTGGTAAGCTAATGTCTGAAATTTGTGAGATAAGGTCGGAAATTGGTGTACTAAGGTCTGAGATTGGTGAGACAATGTGTGAAATTTGTGAGATAAGGTCTCAATTTGCAATGTTTGAAAAACCCCTTGGATTCATGAAGCTGCTTATCAATGCAAGTTTGTTTCTTGCATTTTTCTCAGTTGTATTCATTTTTTTGTCAGTTGTATATTGAAGGTGGTATGCCTTCAGTAATTATGTTTTGTAATGAATGATGTTCAGTTCTTAATGGAGTTATTAATGAATGATGGAGTTCTTTTGTAATGAATGAAGCTGCTATATGTTTTGCATTGACAAACTCTGCATTGACAAACTGCATTGACAAAAAATTCAGACCTATATGACAAACAACCCATAAATATGAACAATTTATACAAACAACCAATTGTCCACAAAACATACCTTATAAACAACCGAGTTACCCATACACATACCATATCATTTACCAATAAAATTCAGAGTTGTCCAAAAGTTATACCAAAAGTCAGTTGTCCAAAAGATATACCAAAAGCTATACCATATATCTGTCTATTCTTTTTGCACAACTGAGTTACCCACAAAGTAGTTAAACAACAAAAGTTTCATAAATTGTCCACAAAAAAAATATAGTTAACTGTATTATGGCTGTATCTTCAACTGCCTTCTTCTCCATCTTCAAGTGTCCCTTCCAGATTGGCTACTTCTTCCAGTACCTCTTCGAACTGCAAATTTGACTGCATTGGGTCTTCTTGGTTGATTTGATGTTACAGAGCCTTGTCTAGGTTGGTTGGTGCTTGCAATGCCTTTTCCTGCTTGATTTGACCTTGAGCTTGCATACCCTCTTCCAGCTTGGTTGGTGCTTTTTGATTGATTTGAGGTTGCACACTCTCTTCCAACTTGGTTGGTACTTGCAGTGGCTTTTCTACCTATATTCCTCATTGAGCTTTGACACCCAAATTGAGTAGCTGATGTAGGCCTCATCATCTGTGATTACAATTAAAATAAACTTAGTCTATTTAAGAAAAATAGAAATAAAGTTAAACCTCTTTTTTTAAAAAAAAAGTTATACCCCTCTGTTAAACTGGTAAAACTTGAACTTCCACTTCCAACTTGATTGCTTCTTGGTGTACTTGTATGTCCCTGCAAGTTCTTATATAGTGTCAAATAATGTCACAAGTTAAAGGGCATTAACTCTTCAGTTAATATTAAAAAAATTATAAGTGATTTACCTAGTTGGGTTGACCTACTTTGCATGTTCTCTTGTTGTGCCCAAATTCTTCACAGTGTGAGCATTGTAGGGATTTGCTCTTTCTAGCATCACTAGTTGTAGCTGCAGGCTCATCTGCATCTCTAGTCCTGGCTTTTTTTGGTCTGCCAGGCTTTTTCCTTGGAACTAGAGGTTCCACAGGGTTACAATGCACAGGAGTCCACATTCTCTGATCAGGTATTGGGTGAATCATACTAGAATGAGTTCTCATGTATGTTTCATTATAGAAATATGGATCACAGTACTGTTCAATATATGTTCTTTTGTGTGTTATGGCTACAGTTGCATGTTTGCATGGGAGGCCAGAAATCTGCCATCCTCTACAATCACATGACCTTGATCTAAGCTTCACTATATGTTTTCCTTCCTCATTTATGACTTCATACTCATCTTGCCCTGCTGGGGTAACATTACATGATCTAGACTCATCAATCAACTTATTAAATTTTTCCCTAATGTTTAGGGTCACCAATCCTACCCAAGTACTGGCCTTTTCAGCCCCCATTAGGAGTCTGCTCATCAATTTGCTCCTACTACCATCAAGCAGCACTAAAATATGTTTATACCTAAGCTTCCCAACCCAATTGTTGAATGACTCACTAAAATTATTAGTGACATGGTTACTCTTCACCTGGTCAGAAAATGCATGCCTTGACCACTTGTACACATCTATTCTTAAGACCCAATTATAAGCCTCTCTTGACACCTCCCTCATTTGCCTCATTGCCTCATTAAATGTGTAATCATTATAGGCTCTAGCTGCCTTCCAGAAAAAAGACTGCAAAAGCAATCATGGATACTTCTTTTTGAAGTTGTTATATAGATGTCTGCAACATAGCCTATGGGTTGCATATGGGAAAACAATCCTCATTGCTTGTTCAAGACCCTAAGCACAAGTAAAGCATAAATTAGATATATAAATTTCATGTAATTTATTAGATATAGAAATTACATGTAATAAATGAAGTTTTTATCTTTTGCTGATCTGACATGAAGCAGATATGTCTATCTTGACCAAGTTCAACAAATGTTTGCAACTCTTGAAGGAAGGATTTCCAATTTTCTTTCCCTTCATTCTCCACCACAGCCATAGCCAGTGGAAAATGGCCATTATTCCCATCAAGGGCTATAGCAAACAAGAGCACACCACCATAAAGGGTCTTTAGGTGACAACCATCCAATCCAATGAACCCCCTGCAACCATTCTTGAATCCATATTGCATAGCTTCTAAAGACATAAAAATTCTTTTAAATGTCATACTAGGCAAGTCCCTCTCAAGCTTCATGATACTACCAGGATTAGATTTGAAAATTTCATTAGCATACTTAGGAAGCAAAATGTATGCTTCTCCATGGTTTCCCTCTAACTCATCCATAACTTTCCTTTTAGCTCTGTATAGTTGCATGGGTCTTGCATCAACTTTGAATTGGCTCATCACTGTTGCATATAATGCATCAAGTGGAACCCCTGGATTGTCTTTTATACTCTACCCAAGCTTTTTACCAATCCATGTGGATGTTGCATCCCTCACAGTGCCACTCCTCACACAATTGTGTGGACCTCTAATTGTCTTGACTTGATAAGTTACTCTATCTACCAGACGGGAAGCATGTACCCTCCATAGACACCCCTCAACTGCACATCTTACAGTGACTTTTTGCTTCTCATTATTTACTCTTTTTATGTTACATCCCTCTTGGATACAAAAATTAACCAAAGTATCCCTAAAATGGTTCACATTAACAAATAGATGACCTTCTTCTAACTTAATCTTTCCATCCACACCTCTCTTAAATAGAATTCCCTTTAAACAGCTTGCATAGCACCTACCCCTTGTTGTTTCAGTTTTCTGTTGTTCAACATTTATCTCACACTCTTCTTCTTCCACATACATGTCATTATCAGATTCAGTACCAGGTTTATCTCCTGATTCATAGTCTGACATACCATCCTCACTGTGGTTCTTTTCTTCCTCCACATTCTTATTCACATCATCATTGTGAACTGGATTCTTACCCTTCCCACTATTTTCCCATTCCTCATCTTCAGAACTAAACCCAAATACATCACTATCATCTTCCAAATCATACTCATCCTCAGGCTGTCCTCCATTGTTCTCATTTACATTGGTCTCATTGTCTCTGACATTAGTGTCATTATTGTCATTAACATTACTGTCATCATTGTCATTCACATTACTGTCATCAAATGTCCTATCATCAAACTCCCTATCATCAAACTCCATGCTCTCAATTGAGGCAAATTCAGGACTTACAACAGTTACAGCCTTATCAATATACAAGTCTATCAATCTCTTACCAGCATTTACTTTAAACATCTCTAGCACATCTTTATCACTATCCACATTCATTCTAGCAGAAGACCTAGGAACAGCACAAGACAAAAACAGAGACAAAGGGACAGTAGTTGGAATATGAGATAAAGCTACTGCTGTTATATCTTTAACAAGATCAATAATGCTATAAAAATCCGGATCCACACCAGTTATAAAAGTTAAGTTCCACTTGTAGTGAACAGTAATATCATGAATTGATTCCATCGCTGTAACAATTAAAATTATAACAAAAATATAAATTATAAACACAAATTAACTAAATTTAACACAATCAATACAATGGAACAACTACTCCCAAATTACACATAATTTCAATTATAAAAGCCCTATTTACCTATATAGAGTTAACAATAAATAGAAAACAAAACCCTAAACAAATATATATAGAGTAATCAAAAACATATACTCTAAACTAAATACAGAATTATTCAAAAATACACACCCAAAAAACAGAGTATAAATTTTAACATAACCTAAACTAAATAGAGAGTAATCAAAAACAGAAACCCTCAATATCGACTACAAAATTCTTTTTACATACCTCAGACCACTTCAGATTCACATATGCGCAAACCCTAACTCGTTCTTTGCAAATACGAACTTGGATTTGTTGCCAAATATGGAAAGCGAACTCCTATGTTGATGCGATCTTTGGTTAATCCTTCACATGCAACAACCCTTACCCTTTGTTTTTTCGTTCTCTCTCTCTATCTCTCTCAGAGTGTTCACAATACACGGCACCACTTTGGTAAGGCAGATGAAAAGACCTGCGTTGGGAAACAGGCACAATTAATGCAAGTTTTCCCTCCAAATGAATCAATAGTCGTGTAACTGAGAAGCTGATGTCATGGGAGGGTAGTTTCGTCATTTCAGATGGCAAGGAGAGGGTATTTCAGTAATTTCGACAGCTCTGTTAGTCGATTTAACGGTCCGTCACAGATAAGGGAGGTCCGTGTAGGATATTTTAAAAAGTAGGGGAGGTCCGAGTAATTTCTGGAACAGGAAGGGTGCCGCCTGTAATTGTGGCAAACCATAGGGGAGGTCTGTGTAGGATATTTTAAATGCACCATTTCGACTACATCTACATGCCCACTTCTCCCACCAAAAAATAAAAAATAATAATGTCCGTGTTTGAGTTCTCTTTCTTTAATTTGTTCGGAAAAAATTAACCTACTTGATCAAGCAAATTAGAGTGAAAAAAAATTCAAATACAGACACATTTATTAAGAGAGCTGAACCCTCTAGTAAGTAGCCATTACCATACTGAAATTGTGGCATATAAGAATTTGGGACCTACTGGCACAAGATTCATGGGACATGACTGTAATACTAGAAGAACAAAATATAGATTAAACTTAGCCAATCTTCAAAGGATTGTGGCCCCTACTGAATGTGGACTAAGTACCTTTTTTTGTACATACATGATTTTCTATTTTTTAAATTAAAGTATCTTGGCTGCTAGACGGATCCAGAAAATAAGGTAAGGGGGCAATAATGAATTTTTTTAGTAACTTCAGGGGGCTAATAGTAATATTTTAAGGGTATATAGCTGAAAAAGAGTAAATTAGTAGGGTATATTAGTAATAAAAAAAAAAATCAGGGGTGGCAATTGATGTAGGTCCGTCCCTAGCTGCTACTACGTATGAATAATTTTTTCTTCTTTTTTTTTTTTTTTTTTTTTTTTTAAACACTTAATTGACACATTTTGAACATTCAACTAATATTTTTAGGATATTTGCTCAACACATTCTGCACATTTTACATAAAGATGGCAACAGAGTAGTTTGGAGTGGAGAATGCCATCTCCATGCCATCCCTTTTTAAAATAACTATTTTCATCCCAGTTCAAAACCAATTTGTTAAACTTGACGGAGGTAGGGCATAAAATATTTTCGTAATTGTATTATAAATCTAACGAAAGTAAATAATGAAAATAAAATTTTAAAACCAACTTCTGCGGAATGCACGATGACAATAGGAGCAAGTTTACACAATTGCGGAATGCATGCATTAGTTGGTGGAAATTAAGAATACATGAGTTTCTTGTTTTAAATTTAAGAAAAATGTTTTCAAAACATGACTAATGATGCAACATTTTAAAAAAAGAGATGTATCTGGTCAACATTGAATGTATACAATGAATAAATTTTTCTATATTATTTTTCAAAATTAAAAAAGATTTGCATATTCAATTATTAATTTGTCATTGGTGGCAAATATCACTTGTTGTCCTTGTCGAGTGATTAGTTATTACCAGCATGACTGTACATAATAACTGCAATCGTACTTAACTGTACACATGAGTCTAAGTTTCCAACTCTAGACTTTACTTGGTATTTGTGATGTGTCCGCCTCCCCGTCCTCCAGATTAATATCCTTGAGTTGCAGGTATGCAACTCGTTTCACCTGTTTCACCGGAAATTGTGATATGATAGCTTCCAGTATCGGTTTCCTTGCCGTTATTTCTGCTGTCTAAGAAGTTTGCTGAATTCTTTGGGCTGGGTTTGCCCTATTTGGGCTTGTATCCCCGTTTGGGTCGATTTTTGGCCAAAGAATTGGTTGTAATATCCTCTTATATATATATATATATATATATATATATATATATATATATATATATTCAATTGCTTTATTTTCCACACAAAAAAAAAAAAAAAAAAAAAAAAAACCACCTTATGGGGCTAAGCTTAAAAGCCTTAATTGCACCATTTTCACTTCATCAACGTGCCCACCTCTGATCAAAAAAAAAAATTTGTGTTCAAGTTCTCTTCCTTTAATTTGTTAGAACATACAAATTAAAGAGAAAAAGATTTAAATGTAGACACATTTATTATGAGCTCAACGCTCGACTTTTTAACAAAAAAAAAAAAAAAAAAAACTCAACGCTTGTAGGTGCAAAATTTCGCTCAACCAATAATGATTGAGAAAAATAAAACAACTCACTCAAAAACAACAGAAATAAATAAGAATAATGTATAGAGAAGTGTGGAATTGCTTGATCCTTTATTGGAGGTCTTAGCCTCTATTTATATACAAAAGATTGCAAAATTATGGTAGGACCCGCGTTGCTTGCCCTCCAATTCTTTCTATATAGCCATTCTTTTCTAATAGAGTTCTTTCCATTGTCGAATCTTCCATACATAGAAATTGCCTTGTACAGAACTTCCTATCCGAATTTTCCTTCTACAGTAAATCCTTCAAATGGTAGGATTTGTGCATTCTTGGGCTGAATATATTTTTGTCCGGCTGGGCTTGAATAACAGGCCGGATGGTAAATACTCATAAGCTGGGCTGATACTTCTTCTTGATTCGGCCTTGACGGAAGTTGGAGGACAAATTATAATGGTCTTGGGCTGTAAGTATGCTCAAATTGGGCTTGAACATGTTGGGCCTTAAATGGCCTTGGAATGTAGACATGTGTGGTGGTGATGTGTGCATTTTTTATTGGAGGGAGTTTTTTTCTCTCCACAACGCTCGACTAATTATGTTACCGAATAATTACTATTAAAAAAATGTGACATATAAGAATTTGGGACCTACATGCACAATTCATGGGACATGACCATAACACAAGAAGTTTACAGTGTTACGTTATCATACTGAAAATGTAGCATATAGAATTTGGGACCTACAGCCACCAGATTCATGGGACATGACTGTAATCCTAGGTGCACAAAATTTATCTTAAACTTTGCGAACCTTGGAAGGGTCGTGGACCCTATTGAATGTGGACTAAACACCTCCTTTTTTTTTGTTCATACATGATTTTTTATTTTTTAAATTAAAGTCCCTCGGCTGCTACCAAGTATGGTTAAATTTTTTTTTTTTTTTTTTAGAGACTTGATTGACGCATTTTGTTCAACACATTTTGCACACTTTATGTAAATATGGCAACAGTGTAATTTGGAGTGGAGAATACCATCTGCATACCATCCCTTTTTGAAATAACTATTCGCATCCCAGTACAAAACCAGTTTGTTAAACGAGAGGGAAGTGGGACATAAAATATTTTCGTAAGTGTATTATAAATCTAACAAAAATAATAAAAATAAAATTTTAACTACGATAATAATTCTTTT